CAATAATGTGGCCTTTTTGGCAGATTAACTAAAGGTGTGCGGCTGCTGCTGTGAGGAAATAACAGCCTGAAATTACAATGGGGTTTAATGGAGGAATGTTGAACGTTTTTGTCACTTCATGCCCTCAAAAAGCATTTTGTTTAATTATTTGTCATTTTTGTCATTTTTCAAACTACGAGATGTTTCCTACGTTTGTCATGATAAATTATGTCTCAGGAATGTAGGGTTTGGGAATTATGGCAGTTTAAAAAAAATATATGAATGCGAATTTCAAGCTGTCCTCCACTCTAGCTGTGACATCACGCACTCTAGTTCATGTTAAAATGTGAAGAAAACCTCTAAAACAAGGTCTGAACAATGTTTAATATCTCTAAAAGTAAGAATCAGATTTAAAAGTTGTTTTACACGAATAATGTCAGAAAGATGCGTAACATTTTAAAGTTGGAATGAGGTTTCTGAGTGAAAGTATGAATGAACAGTGAGCAGTTGAAGTCGCATGAAGATTTGTTGAAGTTGAAGATTTCCTCCATTGACTTCGATGTTAAAAATGTGATGTATTATGGGATGTATCTCTGGAATTATGAAAGTTATGAATGAGAAAAGTAATAGCAATCGATTCCCGACCGAGCTGAACGTTTTGATGTGTGAACGGAGTTTCTGCGATGTTCAATGCGGGAGGAGAAGAGGGCCAAAATAACCCGGCGGAATAATAATAAAAATGTTGTCCGTAGAAGAACAAAAAAACATATTTTGGTCTCTGACACTTTCGGAGTCACCCAAGATCCACCAATTGATATCAAATATCTCATGGTGGATTAGCTCCAATTGCTCAGCTCTACTGACATATTTATTGCCTTTTAGCCCTTTTTTTGGTTTAAGAGGGCACGTGCTTCTGAGTGAGTGAGTCTTGTGTTGCAACCACAGCAGTGCCACTGTGGTTCCAAACTGCAGTGTCAGCAACACATGCTTTCTTATCAAAAACCCAGGTTCAAATCCTGCCCCTTCCTCTGTTTTGGTTTAATCTTCCACAACTCTAGTGTTTGTGCCTTGAGCCAAGATACAATGATGAAAAAGGGAGAGAGAAGGGATGACATGCTGGCAGTGAACGCCTCATATGGGCCTCCAACCCCTGAGCTATCTGGCAGCACAACTCTACTGTTTTTCTTCTGTTTCGCTTGGATCGTTTCTAGAAGCAGCAGACGGCTGTTATCAATTAAAAAGCTCAGTCAGATTCCACTTAACACTACCTGCTTCACATTTAAAACATGATGAGTAATAGTTAAACATAGTGGAACAATAGAAGCTAAAGAGAGACAGATTCTTTTCAGGAATCGGTGGAGGTTAAAGAGACTATTGAAATTATATTTATCAGTTGGACACAAACAGTACTACAAATGAATTCTAACACAAATGCTCTGTTTACAGCTTTTTTTTCTGCATCCAACTGACCAAAAATACAAGTTAGGAGAGCTTAAAAATAGTCATTCATTTTAGCTGAATTGATAAGGTTTTAAGTGTTTGGTGTTTTAGGTTGTGTCTATATTTTGACAACACTCAGTCAAAATAGATATGTGATTTATAAAAAAAACATTTTGCCGTATTGCCAATGAAATAAAAATAATAAGAAGTTAGACTTTATAATACTTGAAGATTTGTTTTCAGGACCGCCTGCTCTGACATGATAAAAGGCAGACCCAACCATACGCTTGATCTCCTTATCGTTCATTGATAGCATCACAGTACAGTGTTTAATATTACTGGTGATAAGTCAGTTACTGGGAGTGTTATGACATCTTCTCACAGCTGTGATGGGGTCACCATGGTTACTGATGCTCTGACGGGTGTTGCCATGCTGTTCTGTCTCCAGGTGATGGTGGTGGTGAAGTACCTGTTCCAGTTTGGATTCTTCCCGTGGAACAGTGTGTATGAGATGACTCTGAATGAAGACAAGCCGTTCTTCCCTCCCTGCATCCTGGGCCTGGAGAAGACCGACAACTACATCAAATACGATCTGCTGCAGCTGCTGGCGCTGTTCTTCCACCGCTCTCTGCTCATGGTCAGTCTTTACAGTCATTACAGCGGTGTTACAGTTGTGGTACAGGGGAAAACCACATGGGCATAACTGGCCACCTTCAACTTTTCAAAAATATCCCCACTTGTACATGTTACAGTTAGGACAGTTTCCTGTTGCTGCTCAACCCTTAAGAACTGTGTGGCAGAATGCACTTTAGATACAGCTGATGGACACAGTTTACAATGACAACAGTTAAAGATATCCATTTTGTTCTTGTGATTTATGACAGAATTAATCAAAGCAGGCTTGTCATTTAATTTTATGTTTTGTTTTTATGTTTCCATCTGTAGCTTATCTATCAATATCATGACTGAAGTCTGGATGTGATTTGAATTGGCCTACTCTGTTTAGCTTTAACCAATATCACCTGTGACATCGTGAGACAAAATGTAAAATATAAAGTATTTCTTTAAGCCCAATGTCACTATAAGGGGATATTAATGAAGACTTTCAATTATTATTTAAATTATATGGCTGGCTAAGGGATTCCTGCAGCTAATTATTTTATTAGCAGCTTTAAGCGTCTTTTAGCACTGTGTAAAGCACTGTGTAAAGGACATTTTATTTGTATTACATGTCACTTGTTAGACGCTTTTATCCAAAGCGACTTACACACATTCAGTACTGTGGGCAATCCCCACAGGAGCAATTTGGGGTGAAGTGTCTCAGGGACACAACGACATGCTGACTGCAGTGGGGCTCGAACTTGCTATCCTCTGATTCGAAGATCAGCACACTAACCCACTGAGCAGTAACCCAATGAGCCACAGGCTTCCCTATTATTATTACCTTAATGCTTTCAGCACACTGATCTTTTCCACACTGCTAAGAAGGTAGTAATCTGAGTCTTAAGCATACTGTTCATTTTATTTTCTACTGAGAATCTACTCATTAGTTAATGATGAGGAACAGCAATGTTCTTGGAGGTAGATCTAATTAGCCCTAGTGTTTAGTTTAGTATAATGTGTAAAATTGTGCTCAGACCGATGTTTCTAGCGTTCACCTGTCAAGATGCTTACTGTAGCTTTCCATGAGAAATGATTTGGTAGACCTGTCTCCAACAGAAGTGCTCAATATAATTCCTCTGTGTGTGTGTAGCGGTACGGCCTGTGGGACCATGAAGGCCCCCTGGAGGAGCAGAGCCCCTCACCAGAGGGATGTAAGGATGAAGGAAAAACGAGAGAAGGAGATGAAGATGGAAGGAGGAAGGAGGGGAGAGCAGAAGAGGAGGAGGAGGGCCGAGTGAGCTCCACATCCACCCTGGAGAACCTGGAGATCACTGAGCTGGACCCAAGTGAGAAGGTTGGTGCCAATACATGATATTGGATGTTATTTTGTAATGTTTTTTTTAAAGGCATTAGAGGGCTTTTCATAGTTTTTTTTTTTAAATACATATGTTCTCCCTTTAGGATTCTGTGGACCTTGTAGAGCCCAGCACCAGCTCTGCTGCCCCCGCACAGCCTCCTGCAGCTGAGGCAGCCCCCAGAGAGGAGCCTCCGTCTGGGCTGAACATTGAGAATCTTCCCAGCAGGCCTAGGGAGGATAGGATGGAGGGAGACAGTGAGCAGGTCATAGAGGAAGTCCCAAAGAAAAGCAGCGGTCTCCGCTTCAGAAAGAAATCTAAAAAACCCAAGAAACAGAGCAGCAAAGGTGAGTGGCCTGATCATGTGTGGACTGAGATAGATCTGTGATTCATCATGTTAACAAAGCTGCATTCCATGTCGGTGTACCACATTCAAGGATGTACAGTATATGTGTCGTAAATTATAATCCCACAATCATTCTGCATGTTTGATAAAAATACATCCTCCCAAAGATAAGGTCCATTATGAGTCAACCTCAATGCTTGTTGGAGCATCTAACCTTCTTTTCAGTGTTGGTCCCAAATTCATTAACATCTAAACCAAATTTAAACAAACGCGGTTTGCTGTCAAAAATGTACGTATCATATTTCCTTAATGTACTAATCAATACTTAAATCAGGCAATTATTGATACACATCCGTGTTTCCCTTGCGAAAACAAAATCTATGGTGAAAATGATACTGTTTGCACAATCTGTGATATTGTTGCCCTTTTTGGTGTTCTACAAGTCTCTACCAAGACATGCCATTGCACGGATTGCTAAATGTGTGGCTGTGTTGTAAATGCACGTAAGCTAAGTTCAGCTGTTCCTGGAGCTAACACTGACAGCTAACATGCATGCTGTTATTGTTAGCTGCAATAATTTTTACAACTGATTCTAGAGATTGAAATAGAACACAGCTCAAAGTGTCACAACTGATACTACAGTCAGCGCTTTCCAAGACACAAAACTTTACAGGAGCGCAAAAGCATGGAATCTGCATTCAATATATGCTTTATGAAGAGAAGGAACTAACATTTTTACTTAAAGTGCACCTATCATGTTATTTGTAGGCAATAGCATAGGTCTCAAATATATAAAAAACATGTCTATGAAGTGTTTTGTTCAAAATACCAAACAGATCACCCATTCTAGCCATGCCTCATATCCCTCTATTTCACTTACTGTTTCAAAAGTGCTGATTTGGGGTATAAGGCTTTGAAAAATAAAAACGTTGATACAAAATAAAAAAAGGAGGGCGCTGAGCTCATGCGAGACCCGGTAGCTACTGTCTAAAGGCGCGAGGCGTGTGGTGCAGTGGGTTGTCCGTAGGTGTTGGGATCAGCCGTGATCCCAACACAGGTTCAAACCCCCACTATAGTCAGCATGCCGTTGTGTCCCTGAGACACTTCACCCCAAATTGCTCCTGTGGGGATTGCCCACAGTATTGAGTATGTAAGTCGCTTTGGATAAAAGCGTCTAACAAGTGACATGTAATGTAAACTAAATACTGCGGTGATGAAACGCCATATCATGGATTATCAAGGATTATTTCTGAAACAGTATGGAGCTCAAAGGCTTTCTCTCTTGCCGGTTATACCACAAGGTGAGTCCCTTTTTACTTCCTGCTTCTTCACACACATGCTCTCCAGTACAGGTTAGCTCTGAGTGTTAGCCATGCTAATGTAAACACGACCATATTACGTCCAAAACAATCGGGCATTGTTTCTGATAGCAACGTTTCTGATAGTGCCGTGGGTCCACATTTATGATATTACGTCATATCGGATGCAAATCTGGATCAGCTCCGTTGTAGCCCCATTTTTAGAGATTTGGGTACGGAGGAAAAGAGAGAGGGTTTTATTTTCTGACGCTGCGTGAGTTGCCCGATACACCGGGAACACATATTTATGTATAAAAGACATCAAAAAGTACATTTTGAATGATGGGTCCCCTTTAATGTGCAGGTTTCACTGCTGTTCCAAATAACAAAGGTCATTCTGAAAGCTCATCAGTAAATGTGCCTGTTTCTGGGCTCCACTTTACTGGGTATTTAAATCTCTTCAAGTTACTGCTAAGTCACATACTGTAGCACGTTGAACAGAGGCATCATGTTTCAAAATGTTCATTTTTGATTGTTTTTGTTGATTTGCTATTCTGTTTGAATCCCTCATTGGTTCTGGTTCTGTCTGCTCCAGAGGAGGCCACGGCTGAGAGTGCAGATCCCTGTGAGGAACCAGTGAAGAAGAAGAAGCAGAAAGGAAGGAGGAGAGAGGAAGCCAGTCAGAAACTACTGGCTGTGGGGCACAAGATAAAACATGTCTGCATCTCTGGGTGAGCGGGGATAGAGAATAAGATGTCACCATAACAGAAGCCATAAGTTAATTCAGATTTAAATAAATATTTCCGTTGCAATCATAGGAAAAGTAAAGTACAAAGTGTAATGTATTTCGGGAACGTGATTACTGTTTCCAGCAGTGCAGTGTTTATTGATGGTGTCCCCTCTGCAGGATCCAGAGTGTGTACCGGCCGGCGCAGAGCTTCTTCGGGGGGATCCTCCATGCTGAGTACCGGACTGCCACAGATGTCTATGCATTCATGTTCCTGACTGATGTCATCGACTTCATCATCGTCATCTTCGGCTTTTGGGCCTTTGGGGTGAGAAATGGGTGGGCGTTTGGATGGAAGATGTCTTTATCTCTCTGAACAGAAGGCTATACTGCTGCCAGCCACTGGGGGGCGATGGAGATTTTTGGCTTCACTTTCAGGGGACTGAGATTTCACTCCTGTTAACATAAAGTCTAAACATATACAAATATGTTGCCTAAATAGCACCTGTGCAGTTAAGTGGTGGGTGTGCTATCCTAGCTATTAAAACAAGTAGTAATTAGTCACTGATAAATAATTATATTACTTATTGATTCTCAAATGGGAGTACATTTTTCCCAACCGCAGGCGTGTTTATTTAAATATCCCCGTCTCTTCATTTCTTGGCTCAGCTTTGAATTTAAACATTAGCAGACGCATGTTAAACGCAGTGACTTGCTCACATTTGCACAGTACTTCAAATGCAGCTTGTGGCATTTTATGAGGCTTGCACATTAATAAAAAAGTACAGTTTGACTGACATAAACACATATACAACCATCTACTGAAACACCACATTAACACTTAAGATGTGTAATCCTTAACAACAATATGTTTGAAAAACATTATACTTTAGAATTTAGTAGGTTAAAGAAATCATCAACTTCACTCCCAATCGACCATGTCTTGTGTGTACTTGAATCATCAGGCAAACATGTGATTTTTCCACTTTATCAAACCACTAACCGCAGTTACTGGCTGTTTTGAAGTTATGAGATGAGTAATGTGACCTTATAAGAGGGTATCAATTAGTCTTACTAATATTCCATATCACATTCACCTTATCTTTTGACACATAGCACAGCTTGCCCAGCATTAACAAAATCAGCAAGTGCATGTGGAAACTTCCTACATGTTTACTCTAATAGTGAGTAGTAGTACACTTGTAATCCATTTGATTGCAAAGCGAAAAGCAAAGCAAGTACATTCATTTTAAACTTATTTTGAAGTGAATATGCCTACATGCTGTAAGTTTGATTTTTTTATGGCTAAAGGCATCTGCTAAATAAAATGTAATGTATAGTAATGGGAAAAAGTTAACTTAATTCTCAGTCAATAGCTGCATCACATTTGTTAATATTATAATTATATAAAAAATACTATGTAACATTCCATATTTGTATCAAAGAGTGTCTGTCTCCCCTTCAGAAACACAGTGCAGCGGCGGACATAGCCTCCACCCTGTCGGAAGACCAGGTCCCAGAGGCCTTCCTGGTGATGCTGCTCATCCAGTTCAGCACCATGATCATCGACAGAGCGCTGTACCTGCGCAAGGCTGTGTTAGGAAAACTCATCTTCCAGGTTCAGCTCATGTTTTCAGAGTATTAGCATTCATGCATTTATGTCTTTGTTTAATGTTCTTCCTTTGAAGAAGTTAGGATGTGGGTTGTGGCACTCTATAATCACAAATGAGTGGATTTTCATTCCTGTATTTCAGCGACCTTTGTAAATCTAGATCCTGAAAGATGTGATTTGTAAATTCATGTAGTCCAATTACTTCCTAGATAGACAGTGACTTTTAAGGAGACCCAGAGAGTCCTGCAGAGTGACCTTGCTCTTCTTCGTAAAAACATCACTCTATTATAATAGACTTGTGTTTCACGTGTGTGTGTCTGAGTTTCGATGATCTCCTCAGCCCTTTGAGTGATCTACTTCACACTTGGTGTTTGTTACTGAGCACCAGAGGCAGAACTGTGTGTGAAGTTACTTGGACCAGCAGTTCTGTAAATAAATGATCTCCGCCTGGCCCTAATTAGTTTAAGCGCCTACTCTGACCTTTAAATATATTTGCATTGAAATCCACACAATAAGGCAGCCATGCCTGCTGACAGCCAGTATCAGATGTTTTATTTCATAGAGTAGCACACCTCTCCATGCCATTACATTACTGGTGATGAGTTTGTGTGTATGTGGGTGTTAAACATGTTGTGGTACAGGTGCCTGGAGCAGCCAAAAAGGTGTGCCCACCTTCAAAGGAACATGTGTGTCCAGAAGATGTGTGTCCACCTGTCTAGTTCATCAAAGCTTGGCACATACAATTGGGGATTTGTTTTCCTTCCTAATACCCTTCCTACTCTCCTTCCTTCCTTCAGGTGATCCTTGTGTTTGGGATCCACCTGTGGATGTTCTTCATCCTGCCTGCTGTCACTGAAAGGTGAAGTCAAATGATTCATGTATTAATGGAGTATTCATGGTATTCCACCAATGGACTAAATCAAAGAGTTCAAGTAGATTTAACACGCTCCGTTCTTCTTCATCTCTTGTCTCTTTTCAGGAAGTTCAATCAGAACTTTGTGGCCCAGCTCTGGTACTTTGTCAAGTGTATTTACTTCGGCCTGTCAGCCTATCAGATCCGCTGTGGATACCCCACTCGTATCTTAGGCAACTTCCTCACCAAGAAATACAACCACCTCAACCTGTTCCTCTTCCAAGGGTACGGACACAAAGCCAGTCCGACACACACTGACACAGATTAGGTTTTTAATGGAAAGGGAGGGAGGTATAAGGGGTCTAGAATCACCATATAGTATGTTTACAGTTTGCTATGGATGTTGTGTTTGTAGGTTTCGTCTGGTTCCCTTCCTGGTGGAGCTGAGAGCAGTGATGGACTGGGTTTGGACTGACACCACTCTGTCTCTGTCCAACTGGATGTGTGTGGAGGACATTTATGCCAACATCTTCATCATCAAATGCAGCCGTGAGACAGAGAAGGTATGAAGTGCATGAGAACAGTGATGCATCAATGAAACTAAATTAAAGGGCATCAGCTTCTTCCAAACTATAGTAGTATAAATTATATGTGCAGCACCATTTTTTATTGTTAAAAACCAAACTTAACATGGGTTTAAATGCGTTTTGCTTGTGTAGTGTAAAGAAACAATAACTCTGTTGTTTATCAGGGAGAGACTGACTAGCTGCTGTCTCTGTAAACATAAAGGCTTGTTCACTTCAACTGAAGCTCCTATAACTGACACCATTAACATGGGTGTCCTGTTTTAATGTACCGGTAATCAATTGGCAGACTCCAGGCAAATTGAGCTTCAGCTTTTCAACACTGATGTGGATTTGTACACCTAGCCAGAACAGCGATAAATGAAGAGCTCATTATCCTAGGAATAACCACCTTGTTTAATACTATGCTGCACTTTACTGTCTGTGATCAATGGTTGATATGACCCTTTCCCCACATCACGTTCTCTTTGAAGCTGAAGGCAGGGCACTTATCTGATACTATTACGATATATTCTGCCCTCAGAAATACCCACAGCCCAAAGGACAGAAGAAGAAGAAGATGGTGAAATATGGCATGGGTGGACTCATCATCTTCTTCCTGATCTGCATCATCTGGTTCCCTCTACTCTTCATCTCATTGGTCAGATCAGTGGTGGGTGTGGTCAACCACCCCATCGATGTCACAGTGACAGTCAAGCTGGGAGGATACGAGGTAATGGACTTTTATAGGAGTGTATTTTACCGTCTCTTAAAGCAGAACAAAATATTATTTTAAAGCTGCTACGGCAGAGCGGCTGCATCTACATTTTGTATTTGATCAAATAGTCTGCAGTGTTCAATTAATTGGCAGCATAAAGGGATTATCTTTGATAGGAAAAAGCTGGAGGCCTTCAGACGACTTTGGCGTTTAAATTGGACACAGTTATTTAATAAGTATGTTTTAGGCTGTACTTGTTTTGATCAAAAGGCACAATTGCCAGGAAGGTGGGACATCTGATAGATCCTGGACCATCATTAGAATACTCATAGAAGTAAGGTAACAGTGTGCAAAGATTCACAAATGGAAATCAATCCAGTTGCTAGGACTCTTTTGAGTCTACATACCGACACATAGAATAAAGGTACATATGTAAAATGCAAAGGACACAGTGTGAAATTATATACATTAGCATAATCCACCATTTCCTCTGTGTATGTCTAGTCCCTGTTCACCATGAGTGTGCAGCAGCAGTCCATCCAGCCCTTCACAGAGGCTGAATATGACCAGATGACCCAGACATTTGGAGACAATGCGGTGCGTACTGATTTCAGTTCATTGAAATGCATGTCTGTATGAACTCTTATTGTCTGTTTTTCCTGATGTTTGAGCATTTATGTAAATAAAAACAATTATCAGATCAGTTTCTTATAATTCTGACAGCTAGGTGTAAGTGTATGTATACAGGAAATCATCACTTCCTTGTTACTGGGGTAACACCATGCAGGGTCGCTGCTTGGTCCCCTTCGCTTTCTTTCATATGCACAACCTCCCTTTGGTGCCTTTATATGCTCACATGATTTATTTTACTGCTGCAATGCTGAGGATAGCAAACTCTATCTCTCTTTCCATACTGCCTCTGAATGTCCCTCTATTAGCCTCACTGATATACTGTACCTCCCTTTGGAAAAAAGCATCTGCCATGGATAATGTCATTTTTTTTGCTGCATGATCTGATCCTCAGAAAGAGTAGTTTGAATAACATTTCTTCACATGCTCAGTTGTAACATCATTGATGACTCTGACATGGTATACTGTATGTTAACAAACTGAAAGGTGTGTGTAGCGACTACTTGAGTAGCCACTTCTCTGTATACCTGTTTTTAATTAATCATTTTGTGTGTATGTGCATTTAGGTGGCCATGCAGTTCATCACGCTCTACAGCTATGAGGATATGGTGACGGCCATGATTGAAGGTAGTTCAGGATCTGTGTGGAGGATCAGCCCCCCCAGCAGACAGGAAGTCATTAAAGAACTACTTGGAAGTCCAGTGGACCTAACACTACGTCTCGCCTGGACTTTCCAGAGGTAAAGACTTTGCTCTCTAATAACATATCCCACTCTCTGGGAGTATCTTAGTATTTATTCTTGTCTCTAAAGGCTGATTTTATTCACCCCTCTTTCTCTCTGCATGTCTCTGGTTCTGACAGGGACCTGGGTAAAGGAGGGACAGTGGAACACACGTTTTACAAACACTCTATAGACCTGGAGCCTGGGAACCCAGTCAGAGCAGAGCTGGCCTCACTGCTGGTTGGAAACCGCACTGAGCCTGTGTAGGTTGACTCTGACAGGATGCTCATGGGTTGTAGTTCATATTGCAGTAGTTATATCTTACACATGCTGTGTTCTCTTTCCCAGGCATGTTCCTCATATGTTCCCTAACTACATCCGGGCCCCCAATGGAGCTGAGGCCAAACCAGTCTCTCAACTACTCAAAGGTCAGAGGTTATTATACATTATATTATAGTACATTAGAGGACAGTATATTACAGTACAGTATACAATACGATAATACTTTAATGGTCAGATCAAGTCTGAAATTGGACTTGCATCACAGCAGCTCCATGTGTAACATCAACATAGACAAATATCAAGACACAATAAGAAGAAGACATACTTTATTCATCCCTTACAGGGACATTTCTTTCCCCACTCTTTTGTGTTTACACACATTACACATAGGGAGGATATACATGCACACACACAACCACATGCAGATAGGAGAGGTGGCAGAGCAGAGAGGCTGCCAGGTACCCAGCGCCAAGGGAGCAGTTTCAAGGTTAGGTGCCTTGCTCAAGGGCACCTCGGCAGTGGCCTTGGAGGTGAACTGGCACCTCTCCAGCTACCAGCTCACTCCTTTGTTTTTTGGTCCGATCGGGACGTAAACCGGCGACCCTTCGGTTCCAAGACCAAGTCCCTACAGACCTAGCCACTGCCGCCTCTGACTGAGCCACTGCCGCCTCAAAATACATACATTTTTCAATACATGAAAAACAAACAACAAACATTTAACATAACGGCACAATCACGAGAAGTACAGTACAGTGAAGTACATAACAGTGGTGTACAGTACATTGTGTGTTATTTACACAAATGTCTTCTTTAACTGATGTGTTGTCTTGTAGGTAATGAAGATGGTTACCTGAACATCACACTGTCCCTGAAGAGTGACAGATCACTTAACGGGAACCAGGAGTGGTGGGACATTGCCATTGCAGACTGTGCCCCCTCCCCATGTGGAGTTCTACCCATGGTCATATTCAATGACAAAGTCAGCCCCCCCAGCCTGGGTTTCCTGGCTGGATATGGGTAAGAGAACCCACAATCACAAATATATACATGGGTTTGATAAAACCTTTTTGGTATCATTCATTGTGTGGAATGTTTGTGTTTGCTTGTGTTGTAAATGGAGAAAAAATATGTAATCTGACAATAAAGTATAACCATCTTCATTGTGAGCAATTATTTATTGGATGTAAATGTCCTTCTTTCTTCCCTCTCCCTCCAGGATCATGGGTCTGTACGTGTCCGTGGTTTTAGTCATTGGGAAGTTTGTGCGAGGCTTCTTCAGCGAGATCTCACACTCCATCATGTTTGAGGAGCTGCCCTGTGTGGATCGCATCCTGAAGCTCTGCACAGACATCTTCCTGGTCAGTGTGAACATTTACACACACATTCTGTACACACATTGATTGTATTCATGCACACACATTTAGAGATCAAGTAAAGAAGATTTTTAAAATTCTAAGAAACAGATCTTTAACTACCGTAATCTACTTGTTGCCATGCTGCTGTAAGTGCACTGGAAAATCATGTCTTTGTAATCATCTTCCACCATCTCATGTTTGTGTGATTCAGGTGCGTGAGACTGGAGAGCTGGAGCTAGAAGAGGAACTTTACTCCAAACTGATCTTCCTTTATCGATCTCCAGAGACTATGATCAAATGGACCAGGGACATGTACAGTCGAGAGCAGGACAGATACTGACTGAATGATCTTGTTTGGTTGTAAAAGAACACATATCTGAAGCTCATTGCAAAGACGTCCAGAGGACAACACAAGCAGGGCTTCTTGAGAACACTCCGTACCAGAGTGGAATTTGCCTTACAACCACGGAGACACATGAAAGGAGATTTACACTAATCAACATCTTCTTCTGGACATCTGTTGCTGTTGCATCTTCTCTGCTGCCTGAGCATTTTCATCAAACCGCCTCACACTACAGACTATTGAGAGTAATGTCCCTCTGTGGGTGAGATGGACAGCAGCTGGATGTCTGACCTGCAGGATTGGGACATACCGCCCCTGAAAGGCAAACTTTGCCCTTTAACACAGCCGAGTTTGACTGCTAAGGTCAAACAAGAGAGAAGTCAGACCTCTTTGTATTGGAGCCATGCAGGTTGAGTGACTGTGTGCTTGCAACTAATTGTAGGTCGCACCATCTGAAGTTACTGTGTGAGTATGCCGAAGAAAATGTTCTTTGCTGTCAATCAAACTCACAAATGTCTTTAAGATCATGAATTATTGTAAAGTGTTGTGTTTCCAGCAGCCAAGTTACATTGACTTTAACATCATGAACCGAGGTTTGACCAAACATGTCCGCCTTAAAGTGCCTTTTCATGTTTCAAAAGTAGCCATATTCTGAGTTTGGACTATTTATAAGCGGCTCTTTCAGTTCCCGGCCACCATAGGCCAAATAATGGAACATATGTCACATAGACCTGGTGGTGTGACACCTTTTGAAGAAATGTATTTTGGTAGCCCTGAGAGCTCAATGCACTGTAAATAAAACATATGCAAATAGACAAAACACAAGCAAATAAAAAATAAAAATGACTATGTTGATAGCTGCATAAAGAGAAATGAAAACTGTTTCCAGGGCACACTTAAAAGTGATGCACAATGCTGGGAAATATATTTGTCCTCATGGTTTTTGTCTTATGAAGTTATTCAACTCAGGTTAAAAAACGAGCTAAGATGTAGTTAGACTGTTTTGGCTTATTCTTAATCATGTGATTCAGTTGTCGTTGCAACTGTCATTCAATTCATCTGACAAAATGCACACAATTACCTGAAACAGGCTGACATTATGTTAGCTCTACAGTTATTTTCAGAATTGTCACAATTCAAGGATGAAAATAAATTGCAAATGGTTCAATAATGGTGTAAACTTACTCATTGTACACATCACTTATTTATTAGAAGGGATACATCCAGATTGGACTTGCAGAATAAAGTTTGTTATTAGTAGTATTTTGCGAGTCATTTGAATTCTTACCTGTCATAGTAGTTGTTGGAGATTTGGAAGATGTTTAAAACCAACCTCGTCTCCGCGTGTCGTTTGGTAAGCTGGGTAAATTCGTACAAAGGAAGGGATTAAGAAACACCAGAATACAAGTTAAACAATAATCTTGTTTTAATGATACAAGGTAACAATACTAATACAAAGGAAGTACTTCCTGCTCTTTCTCCTGTCCTACCCTCTGGTCAGCCTGAAGAAAAAGAGGTCGAACCCAAGGAAAACACAGGCTTTCATACTAAAACACAGGAGGAGGTGTGTGCGTGATTTCCCCCAGAGGTCATCTTATTGGGAGAGACCAACACATGGCCTGGTCGCCCCCAATCAGTGCGACACAGCAGAAGAAACCCGGAAACCAAAAGTCTCTTTTAGTTTGACGAAAACCAGACACCTCTTGGTGTCCGGTACGAACCTGATCTTATTTCACATCTTGCAGCCCGCACACACCCATCCCCCTTTATGGCCCTTTGTCCCTGAGTCCATCTTCCCCCCATCAGGTTACAACACATAAGTTAAAAGTATGTTTTAAGATATAGTTGTTATAGTTGGCTAAATATACGTAATACATGTAAATCACTTTCATATCACTAATAACGAGGAACACATTACCTATGCTCTTAAGCAGTATTAGAGATGCTTTTCAAATAGTCAAACTTCACACAGGCCTAATATAGAGAACACACTCATTTGTCCTACAACCCTTCCATTTGTTTGAGCTATTGTTCACATCTTTACTTCAAATAAAAGGTTTCACA